TTTCATTGTCTTCTGATAAAGCACTATCCACATGGTGAGGCAACTATTATGTCCACTCATTACAGGGTATAATGACTATTTCTCTTTCTAAAAGGATAACTGAAGAGTAATAATACTAACAGATATAATTATAATGAAAACGCAATGGTGATAATAACAGCAATAATAATAATAATAATAATAATAATAATAATAATAATAATAATAATAATAATAATGATAATAATAATAATAAAGATAAAAATAATAATAACAACAAAACAATAATAATCATAATTACAATAATCGTAATGGTAATCATAATGATCATCACAATGATAATAACAATGACAATAATAAGAATAATAAAAATAAAAATAATAAAAATGATAATGATGATGATGATGATGATGATAATAAAAACTACCAATGATAACAATAACAATGATAATGATAAAGATACCGATAAAGATAATGCCATTAAAAATAAAATTCACAATCCTGATTATAATCATGATAACAAAACAAAATTCAAGTAGAAAAGCAGATCGCAAAGGAACCCTCACGTACCGGCATAAACAAGTGCGCCCATCTTGCTCCTCTCCAAAGGCGGGATCCACTTCGCCATCATTGAATTCATTGCGGGAAATGTCACTCCCTTTAAGGAAAGATAAAGAGTTATTAAAACAGTCTACTTGAATGCTGATAATAGATTTGATTTTTTTTTTTTTTTTTTTTTTTTCATTCTACTTGAATTCTGAAAATAGATTTGATTTTTTTTATTATTATTATTCTACTTGAATTCTGATAATAGATTTGATTTGATTTTTTTTTTTTTTTTTTTTTTTTTTTTTTTTTTTTTTTTTTTTTTTTTTTACTGAATGTGGTTAAATTAGTAGTGACAAAGAGGAAATAAACACAAACTGGGCTTAAAAATCTCTGTCCCTAAGTGTGAGAGAAAATATATAATGGAAAGGCAAATTTGTCGGAGCATCTGGCCCTTACCAGGCTTTTCACTGACACTGCTTAAAAATGAAAAAGCAAGCTAGGCTTGGAGCTGAATCAATGGAAATGCATAAATCTCTGTTATGTAAGTAATTAAGTATTACATGTCATTACAACTTCAGGAATATGTATAAAAAAAAATAGTAATCCCATACAGCTTATATACCACACTATTTAACCCATTCGCCCAGGATTTATGTTCTGCAAGGAGTCTATCAGGAGGCCCTAGTTACCGATCCTGATTTTCCCATTCCTTGAATTGGCCGGAAAATGTGTTTTTCTTATTTAAATACCATTGCTATCGATGCTGTTATTATTATTATTGATGTTATGATTATCAAATTGTCATTAAAATATTTTAGACAATGAAATGATACAAAAAAAACTTTCCTAAAGTGTAGGAAAAGGGTAAACAGGTGAGATAGGTAGTTCTGATAACTAGCTATTTGGTGACTTGTAGAGCCATCTAAGTGTAAATACAATAAATAAATGTGTGTTACAGTGGGCATGGCATGTATTCTCGCCACATGGGGCGAATGGGTTAACACTAACAGCTCACTTACCTCTCCTAGTCCTTCAATAACTCGAAGAGCAATCAGCAATGGGGTGCTTGCCTGCGCTACGACAGGAGTCAGCAATGTCAATACAGCCGTAACTAGCACACCAAATCCAAAAACAAGCTTTCCGCCAATGACCTCACCCAACCTCCCTCCTACCATGTTGGTCAAGACGTAACCCCAGAAAAATGAACCAAGGATGAGGCCTTGTTCCGATTCGGTCCACACAAATTCTCCATCCTGAAAAGAGGGATACAATTACGAGTTCATACTATGCAGGAATTAACATGAAGTCTATACTAGGCAAATGATGGTAAGGTAGAGTAATGCATTTATCACTGGGGAAAAAAAAAAAAAAAAAAAAAAAAAAAAAAAAAAAAAAATATATATATATATATATATATATATATATATATATATATATATATATATATATATATATATATATATATATATATATATATATATATATATATATATATCACATATTAGCTACACATTATTTCTGTGCGGTAAACCTTTTATCAATTATATGTCAGAACTATGTATGTTTACCCATTGCTGCCAAGAACATGTAATGTACACTGTAGTTTTATTTTGTGGAATGTGTTTAGGCATATATAGGTTCACAAGTGCTCAACCACCAAGTTTTTTTGATAAAATGTTTTTTCTATTCCTATTAATAATATATATTAAATAATCATTATCAATATTATCATAATGCTATTAATAATACTAGTATCTATATAAAATTAAAACTAGTATTTCTGAAAACCAAGGAAAAGAGTAAACAGGTGAGATGGATAGGACTTCTAATTGACTCCCTGGTAACTGAGCATTTGTGAGTCCATCTACGTATAAATAATAAATTAATTAATAATTGAAACTCTCAGTGGGCAAGGTACATATAAATATAACATCCCCAGCAGCAATGAGTTAATAACATATATAAGCTAAGT